GTTGCATGTGCATTATTTTATTTGTCACCTTTCACAGCATAAATTAAAATTTTTAACCCCTTAAAGTTAAAAGTTTAACCCTTTAGGTCTCTGCTCATTATTATTTTTATTCCTAAAATATCACTACTATTTTGATCAATAAAAAAATATATCACAACTACGATAATATGCATAATTAACTATGTTTCAGTTGAATTTATGAACTGTTACAATTGACCCCGTAAGTGGGGACAATTGTAACAAGTGCACGACTGTCAAAAATTGTTAATAACAAAAATAATAACGTTTAAAATAAGGTATTTATTATTTTTTCTAGTAGAGGATAGTCTACTTCACTCGTCTTTCAATTAATACTGATAATATATTGGAATTTTTGTTAGTTAAAAATAGTTAAGTAAAAAATGTTACAATTGACCCCACTCTCCCCTTCCATCAAGTTTCCTAACTTAAGATTTTAATCTATTTGAAAATCGAGAGACAAACTGAAGTACTCCCTTCTCCTATGACTCTCCACACGCCACTGATGAAATCATGCGAAGTGTTGCCATGAGTAGAGAGTTTTGCTCTACGCCACGTGTAGCCCATTTCGATCACCAATATTCTAAAAAACTCGTCAAAAAATATATTATTGTACGGAATTTTCCTACTTAATATCGAAACTAAAATATGACGTTAACGTAAAACTGTTAATATAGTTTCTGGAAAAATTTCAAAAATCACATTTGTACACAAAACCTGAGCAACTAATGGGTTTTTATATAAATGTTCGGCACAGCTCATATAAAAAAATACCTTTAAGGTAATTAGTGTATTTTCTGTATGTTACAGATGCTCCATTCCAGTGTCCAAGCTTCGGGGGATATTTTCCTGATCCAAATGACTGTTCCAAATACTACCAATGCACTTTCTTTTCTCCAAGATTGAGAACATGTAGAAATAATTTTCTTTTTGACGGAGTCAAAAAACAGTGTAAACCAGGCGGGGAAGTGAATTGTGGATCAAGAAAAAGACCGACAAGTAACGAAACAAAATTTTTTTCTGTGAGCATGCAAATGTTTACAATATTTGCGTTACTTCTAGCTCGCTAAACTTTGAGGAGTCCTAGTAAGTCATTTTACGGGATGTTTTAAATATTCATCCTGCTAAGGTGCCACTACGAAATAACTAAGAACAAAATCAAGCGATCAAGCGAATACGTTTTTAATATTCAATGAAGTATACATATATTTTTTTCGAATATCATCTCTAAAAAAGAATAACTTTACATTTCTTACTTTTTTCTAATGTTACGCCATCGCTTATTCTTTTTCAGAAAAACACATTTTTTAAATTGGATATTGTTGGGCACAGTTTGTCTTCCATTCATTATTGCCGTATGTGATGACAAAAGTGGTGAGTTCTTATCCAATTTAATACATATTTTTCCATTGCACTAATCAAATTCCTATTTCTCGTTTTATAGAATATGATAGCTAAATACCCGTTTTTCTTATAAGGTGGAAAAAGAGCAAACTATCAAAACTGGTATTAATAAAGATTACAAAATCATGCACAAGACTAAGCATAAGCTGGCATGATAAGTAAAACTGAATAATTCCAATTTTCTTAAAATTTACTATTACTTGTTTTCCTTCCAATACTTTGAATCATTTTTCATTACGCTGTTGTTTGAAACTAACTCACTATATGCAAACAAAATATTTTTAATCTTGCTTTGTTTCAACGAATTCTGAAAAGTGTTAGCGTTTTCTCCTTGCTTAAATATTTATTCATGGTATCTCAACTGTGCATGTTTTTTAACTTCCTTTTTAAAAAGTTTTCTAAAATATAGTTATGAGCGGTGATTACAGTAACCTTTTTATATTAGTTTATGTTTCATCTTAGATTAAATTTTAAAAATTCCATTAAGTTTTAGATGTGTAAATCCACAGTACAAATTTTTCTCTAATTTGTTCGTTTAAAATAATTCCCTTTCCTTTTTTCTATAAGTAAAACAAAGTTTAATTAAAAACATCTATGTTCACACAAATTTTGCAAAATGTGCTTTGGTAAAAAAAAATACTTAATGCATAATTTTTTTATTATTATTATTCCATCTCTAGAATTGCATCTAAGTCATCTTTGTACCTCGTTCGTAACGCAAAAAATTTTTTTTTCCAGATGACAAAATGACGACGAATGGTATAATTGGAACCAGAACTCCTAAAGGTAAATTTTTTATTTAATTTTTTCATATAACTTTTATTTTGAAATAAAAAATAAATTTTATAAGATTCGCATAATTTATTTTTAAAAAAATTATGCATTAGCATTTCGTTAAAATTTTAATACATGATAAAAAAAGAAAACTCCATTTGGTCTAAAATTGAACATGAAGTTTTGAATTAAAGGCCATCTAGACTAGAAACACGTAGACGTGATGGGGCTCTCTCAGGCAAGGCACGAAGTACAGCACCCACAAGAAAATGTACTGGATTAAGAGTCTCTAGATCACTTATTTCAGAGGTTAATGGACTTAACGATCGAGAATTGAAGCAAGCCTCAGTTTGACACAAGAGCGTAGCCAGTTCTTCAAAATTCAGTATAGCTGAGCCGCATACTTTCAGCAGGTGTGTCTTGGTTGATTTAATGATGGACTCCCAGAGTCCGCCAAAATGAGATGTTGCAAGTGGAATAAAGTGTCATGAGATTTGAAGGTTGCTGGAAAAATCTTATACTGAATTGTCTCGTACAATTTTGTACAGAGACTTCGAACAGTTACTGGCTCCCTTAAAATTTGTGGCACTACCACTGTATACAACAGAGGGCAACCTTCGTCTCACAATAAATCGACGAAAAGATGCTAAGAAGGCTACTGTTGACAAATCAGAGACAAGTTCCAAGAGGACAGAATTCGTAGCAAAACAGATGAAAAGTGCAATGTACGACTTTAGGGTGTCTTTAGAACTGGGTAAATTTGGTTTGGTTGAAATTAGGCTTGCAAAGTCCAGCCCGACAAGTTCGAAAGGTTTTTAATAGAATAACTCGATCACGAGGCAAATTGGCCTCGAGTTGGCTGGTGCAAACAGCATTTACCTTTAAACAAAGTTATACAACATCTAAAAAATTTTCTTCTATGTTTCTCCCAGCTGGAAACCAAAATTTTTGGCGAATTAAAGATAAAACAACAGAGGCGCCAGAATGTAACAGAAGCTTATAATAGTATTTTATAATGAGCTTGACTAAATAATGACTTCGCGGTAAAAGAATGGGATGTTTGGCCGACAGAGTCAGATTTGAATTTTTTAGTCTCCCTGTCGGCAGTATTGGAATGACCAGAGACGTGATGCCAAGTTATTGATTCAGTCAAAGATGTGATCATGGCTACTTTATTTCTGACAAATTGATCTTTTAATGAATCTGATCGTATCTAGCTAAAAATTATTTCTGAATCCATGCAACGTAGAACTTGATCCCAGAATTTATTCATCGATCTTGAAATTGTATCAAACAATTTTGATAGCAGATGCACTGCCTATAATTTAATACGTGGGAGTGAAATTGCTCTCAATGGAACTACCCTTGTTTTAGCTGTCACGATGCTGACAGCAGGGGCAAACGCTGGGGGTTAGGGGTTTAAACACCCCCCTTGAGCTCAGACAAAGTGAATTTACAAAATAATACAGACAAAAATAAAAATTTTAGCAGAAATTATGCGGGCTCTAATTTTTTAAGACTATAGATTTTTATTTGCCTTATGCCTACTTTTTTTTCTCATGGTATATTCTCAGAATACTGAAAAAACATTTACTATAATAGGGTTGTACTTTTGAAGCCCCGATCGCTGGTTCCTTTCTGTCCTGCCAGTCGCGATAGTTTTCGAGACTGGCTGGCATTCGCGAGGTCTGGAATCCTAGACGTTCTGTCGTCTTTGAGACAATTTGAGAATTTAGTAGTTGCGGTAAAAAAAAGTTATATGAAAGGGGGAATGGGGTACAGTGGAGTAAGTTATTCAAACTGAGAATTATCTCAGCCACTTGTCTTTCGGAGCTCATCGCTAAATCTGTTTTGTTTTGGAGACATTGTGCTCGTTGAAGTATTTCATTACAGCTCGAAACTTTGAGATCGTAGCTTAGCGGATATTTCTGTGCCAATATATATGTATATATTCTTGCTGTTCTTGGATCTTTAGGATGTCAAAACGCAAGAATTTTAAAACATTTAATTACTTTGAGAAAATGTCACAACTAGAAATTAGTGAGGGGGCAGCATCTAGTACCAATGTAAGTTTTTCTGTTGAAGAGAAATGTACTTCCGTTGAAGAAAACGTTTCTAGCGTAACAAAATCTGATGAATGTGAAAGTGGCCCTCAAAGTGTTACTTCCCACGCATATGACATTGGACTTTTTTCAGAAGATAATACATGCGAGGATAAAAAACTGGATATACTNTTTACATTTGTTTTTTTTTTGTTTTTTTCAAATGTTACGCCATTGCTTATTCTTTTTCAGAAAAACACATTTTTTAAATTGGATATTGTTGGGCACATTTGTCTTCCATTCATTATTGCCGTATGTGATGACGGAAGTGGTGAGTTCTTATCCAATTCAATACATATTTTTACATTGCACTAATCAAATTCCTATTTCTCGTTTTATGGAATATGATAGCTAAATACCCGTTTTTCTTATAAGGTGGAAAAAGAGCAAACTATCAAAACTGGTATTAATAAAGATTACAAAATCATGCACAAGACTAAGCATAAGCTGACATGATAAGCAAAACTAAATAATTCCAATTTTTTTTTAAATTTATTATTACTTGTTTTCCCTCCAATATTTATTTTCATTACGCTGTTGTAACTCATTATATACAACCAACCAATTCTTAATCCTGCTTTGTTTCAACGAATTCTGAAAAGTGTTTGCGTTTTCTCCTTGCTTAAATATTTATTCATGGTATCTCAACTGTGCATGTTTTTTCACTTCATTTTTAAAAAGTTTTCTAAAATATAGTTACGGGCGGTGATTACAGTACCATTTGTATATTAGTTTATGTTTCATTTTAGATTAAATTTTAAAAATTCCATTTAGTTTTATAGATGTAAATCCACAGTACAAAATTTTTCTTTAATTTGTTCGTTCAAAAAAATTTTATTTCCTTTTTTTAATAAGTAAAACAAAGTTTAATTAAAAATATCTATGTTGACACAAATTTCGCAAAATGTGCTTTGGTATAGAAAAGAAAAAAAGAAAAAAAAAGATATATTATGCATCATTTTTCTTTTTTGTCATTACCCTTTCTCTAGAATTGCATTTAAGTCATCTTTGTACCTCGTTCGTAATGCAAAAAAATTATTTTTCTAGATGACAAAATGACGACAAATGGTGTAATTGGAACCACAACTCCTAAAGGTAAATTTTTAATTTAATTTTTTCATAGCACTTTATTTTGAAATGAGAAATAAATTTTAAATGATTCGAATAATTTATTTTAAAAAAATTTATGCGTTAAAATTTTAATACATGATAATAAAAAAAAACTCCATTTGGTCCAAAATTTAAACTCTTTACTCCATTTTGTCCAAAATTGAATACGAAGTTTTGAATTAAAGACCATCTAGACTTGAGACACATGGATAGTGATGGGTCTCTCTCAGGCAATGCAAGAAGTGGAGCACCCACAAGAAAATGTACTGGAGAAAGAGCCTCTAGATCATTTATTTCAGAGGTTAATAGACATAACGGTCGAGAATTGAAGCAAGCCTCAATTTGACACAAGAAATTCTTCAAAATTCAGTATAGCTAAGCCTCATATTTTCAGCAGTCGTGTCTTGGTAGATTTAATATTGGAATTCCACAGTCCGCCAAAATGAGGTGTTGCTGGTGGAATAAAGTGCCATGAGATTTGAAGGTTGGTGGAAAAATCTTGGACTGAATTGTCCCATACAATTTTCTACAGAGACTTCAAATAGTTACTGGCTCCCTTAAAATTTGTGGCATTAGCGCTGCACATATCAGAGGGCAACCCTCGTCAAGCAATAAATCGACGAAAGGATGCTAAGAAGGCTTCTGTTGACAAATCAGAGACAAGTTCCACGTGGACAGAATTCGTAGCTAAACAGATGAAAAGTGCAATGTACGACTTTAGGGTGTCTTTAGATCTGGGTAAATTTGGTTTGGTTGAAATGGGGCTTCCAGAGTCCAGCCCAACAAGTTGGAAAGGTTTTAATGAAATAACTCGTTCACGAGGCAAATTGGCCATGAGTTGGCTTGTATAAACAGCATTTACCTTTAAACAAGTTGTACAGCATCTAAGAATTTTTCTTACTGTGTTTCTCCCAGCTGGAAACCAAAATTTTTGGCAAATCAAAGATAAAACAACAGAGGTGCCGGAATGTAACGGAAGCTTATGATAGTATTCTATAATGAGCTTGACTAAATGATGACTTCGCAGTAAAAGAATGGGATGTTTGGCCGCCAGTGTCAGATTTGAATTTTTGCGTCTCCCTCCAATTCTTAAGACCTTGTCAGAGTCCAGAAAGGGTTATGGTTATGAAAGGGTTATGATTTATAGTTTCTTGAAACACAACCTTTTGTTTCAATTGACTTAATTTCAGCATTGAAATTTACCCTTTAAATTTCTTTAATAATGACAATAAGAGAATTATGTAGTTCTCAAACTTGAAGACTACCCTTTATCCTACTTTCTGAATTTCTCGAGCTGAAAATGAATCTTTTGCACCGAGCAATCACTCCTATTAATTTGCTGACTATGAATATTTTTGAATTAAATCTTGAATGGAATTACTTTAAACTGATGAGGCTTGTATTATAGAGTCAGGGATGGAAGTGTCAGAACCTAGTTTGGAACCTATTTGAACCTAGTTTGGCTGTACCTCTTCGATAAATGCTGAATTTTCATTATTCAGCCAATCTGGACCCTATCACCAAAGTTTCAAGTTCATCAGTTTCTTAGAAAAATATTCCTCGAGAGGCACAGTCGGCAGTATTGGAATGACCAGAGACGTGATGCCAAGTTATTGATTCAGTCAAAGATGTGATCAAGGCTACTTTATTTCTGACAAATTGATCTTTTAATGAATCCATGCAACGTAGAACTTGATCCCAGAATTTATTCATCGATCTTGAAATTGTATCAAACAATTTAGCTAGCAGATGCACTGCCTATAATTTAATAAGTGGGAGTGAAATTGCTCTCAATGGAAC